CCACACCTACACGACAATTCTATGGAATATGGATTGAGTGATGTACATACATTTTGGACAGCTTCACCTTTATTGCAGTGTTTAATCTCTCAAGGCTCACTGTTTGCTTTCAGTTTCTTTTTCTATTCAGGATGATGTGGTATCACCCTCCTTTGTTGTAATCATTTTTATCTCTACTAATAAAGTATTTCCATTAAACAAAAATTTATAAATAAATAAAATAAAATAAAATAAAAAAGTTCTCAGCACATCCCTATTTTTGACATTTGATTGCCTACTGTCCTAAAGCAAACATAATGGAGGCCTGATGCTGGAGTACAAGATTACAATCCCACCATCAACAAGCAAGCAAGAAATCGGCACTGAAATAGGAAAAGACATTTTCCACCCAAAGTTACTGTTGAAATGCTGCCTTCAAATTATACATGCATCATATAAGATCGAAGCTACATACCATTCAGAGAAAGGCTAATAACCAAATACATAAACAGTTCATCACAACACAATTTACAGATGCTGGAATCTAAACTTCAGATTTAATCTCAACACATGAGTGTCAAGCAAAGATGGTATGAAGAAAATGGCAATGAAAACTCATTGATTCACACTGACCTTCCAAGATCGGAATTGATTTTCAACCCAGTGATGGCACCTTGTGCAAACTGAAGCAATTCCTCTCGCTTCACCTAAAGAACAATGTAAACATATAACAATATCACTGAATGCATAAAAGAACACAGGAGAGCCCACCACTGATTGGCTTTAAAAGAATAAATTGGAGGCTTTGTGGAGAGAGGGTAGATGAAAAAGGGAGCAAGGGCATTGCGGCCCACAAACTCTCCTTGCATGTCTCACAAGTCTATATACTGAGTTGTCTAAAGGGGACTTTTAAGATAAAAAAATAAATGAGCACTTTAATTACCTTTTTCATTGAGCACTTTAATAAGACCAAGTAACCTCTTAAGATCAAAAAATGAGTTATTACTTTCAACTTTACAACTATTCTTCAGAGATAATAGATATCATTGAGCACACGTCACATTTTAAATTCAGATATTAGTTGTTGATTGGTATCTCAATTCTCTCTACACAAAATTATGACATATTAAAAATCCATAATAGGAGTTATAAAATTATGATGTTTATCCCATTTTCTCCATTCTAAAAAGTTATAAAATATCAGCATAAATCATAGATTAAATCACAGTCCCTAAGTTTTAAAAAGATATATCAGGAAGTTCTTAACGGTTAACATCACTAATATAAAATTTTAGATAGAATGCTTCCAGATAATTTATTTTTTTATTTTAGTAGTCTTTTGTATAACATAAACTTAACTTCCTCATTTCAGATTTCATGTTTAAAATCAAAACTAAAAACTTAGTTAAGGAAAATGCTACTCCATGTATTAAAAATGTGCATTCTCAAAATTGAAACTTCAGTGTGAATGTAAATATTGATTATCAATGAATGGTCAATGCATCAAACAACCATCAAAGATTTTTAGAAGTCACAACTTACTCCAAAAATACAATTAATCAAAGAGAGGAGAAAACACAGGAAGCATTACTAGTGAAGAATACATCTATCTATGGATAGAATATATCTATCTATAGTTATGAGTGATGTCAAGGTCAACCTTACCAGTACTTCATCTTCATAGTTTGAAAAGGCAGTTGCTAAATCTTGCAAGCTGCTTACTATGGCATCATGAACTTCTTTTCCTCCAGTGAGACAAAGTCTATATAAATAAGGATGAGGAAAATATGATTAGATGTATCTTGAGTGGAACTGCAATTATAAAACTGCACCAAAGGGTTTCATATCCTGGAGGAGCTACACTCAGATGTCATATTCATAAACACAAAATCCAAGGAGTCATGATGGGAAAATATATAAGGAATATCCTTTTTAGTAACCGTTTTGGTTTCCTTTTTCATTCGGACCTTTTTGCCCCTTTTTATTTTATCCAAAAATCTAAACTGCTTATCCATTTAAAGTAACTATTTAGTATTCACCTTATAATTTGTCTTTTAATTTATATTTAAAAAAATAAAGGCAATATAAGTAATAAACTCACCCAAACATCTCCAGGAGTAGGGAAACCTCTTCCTCATTAGGAGCATGAATAATCTGAGGAATAGAAAAGAGTTAACCCTGCGGTTAACCTCCATTATCAGCAAAAACAAACAATTTGACTTATCCAGAATGATATTCTTTTACCAATTTAATGATAATGGTAGAACATAAAGCTGCATACACCAAAGAAAAACAAAGGAACAAGGTATATTTAACCAGATCAAAATATACTGAGTGTATAGTATATGCACATATAAAGGGTTTTTACACTGACATCCACCAACAGAGTACCATATATAATGAGTTTGTTGACTTTTACAATAATTATCTTTAAAGTCATACCTACCATGATTTTTTATTGGTTGATAGTGCAAAAAGTTTTACACTGATATAGTACATAGAAATTAAATTAAATTCAAATACAATTTTGATGGAATATTCGCAAGAGGTTATTAACCCTTAAGTTATGGGGAAAAAAAAAAGTGATTATATTTATTTTTACATTCAATTAATGTTTTGGACATATATGGTTCAGCTATGAATACTAGATTTAAATAATAAAAAACATAACACTAAAACTGCATATGTATACATACTTCAGTCTGAGACAATCAATCTCAAGTTTGCATCTTGGGCTTTCACCAAGCTAATGTCATGTCTCACTTCACAAGTACACTTGAAACAAGCTTTTCTTTTTGCACCCATTTTTCCAAGACATTTTAAAACACTACAGATTTATGTTTATAGAGCAAACCATAGATGATTACATTATAAAATTACGTACCAATATATCATGGGAAGCTCAGCATATTTATACATAATAATTAACATTAATCAAACATACCATGGATAATGTTATACCCTCCAATGCCTGACTTTGAAGAAAAACATCACGAAAATTCAATGGTTCACCTCCAACATCAGAATCGTAATAAAGAATCTGAAAAGAAACAGTAGAATAACAAACACAAACAGCTAAGGTAAAAGGATGCCATAATGATCACTATTTCAAGGACAAAATTAGCAACTTAAAAACTTAAGGATCAGCTATCTGTAACCATAAACATAATTAGCTACCAAAGAAGAAACTCATAAATAATACTTCCTAATATAATATAATGGCTTCACAGAGTGGACAGTTAAAGAAGGTCTGACTAATGATATTTTATATAATACTGATCAACAGAGAAAAGGTCCTCCTGTAATCTATTATAATCCAAAACTAAAAAATACATAGTAGAGGGAAAACAAACAACAAAAGCTACTGAAGTAGCCTAGACTTCACTAGGGCAGAGTAGAAAGTGTGAGAATGGCTTCAATACGCCATGATTTCAGGAGTACCCTAGCAACACAATCTTTAAACACTCCTGTTAACACATTCTCTACTATTGGCTAAATCTTGTTAAAAAAAAAAATCATGAGTAAGATTCATTAAATAAGGAGTGAGACTATACTATTTTTGTAATTTTCAGTAAATTACGGCAAATAGTGAAGACTCTGTTAGAAAGATTATTCCTAGCATTTCTCAAATTTCTCAGACAGCCTAGTGATTAAAGGTAGTATAACCAAATCTCCTGGTAGAGTACAAATTAAAAACCAGTGATAGCAAAGTGCAGTACATAGGAACAGGGAGAGCTTTTAAATTCTAATGGTAACCTGAGATGGTCTCCCTGGGTTCTCCTTGGCTTCTTCAACTGCAAGGTGCTGCTCGAGAGTCCTCTCTTTACCTTCAGCCAATGACGCTTCAGACAACTTCTGAATCTCGTGAAGCACAGCCACCCATCTCCTAAGCAACTGCACTCTCTCAGGTCCCCTGTAAGAGACAGCAGCTTCTTCCAACCTTTTAATGGTCTGCGCAACACTTCTGTAATTCCGAGCATTCTGCACGGTACACACAGCACAACATAGTACCAAATTCGCATTCTCGTATCAAAACGTTTACAAACCCTAATAATGGTAACTACACACACAGAGAGGATGGCTATTGGTTTCGGTGTAGTGAATAGAAATAAAAACTGAAACTGATGCAATTATTTATTATTGTCGTAATTGAAAAACGGAAGGTGGTGTGTGTGAGAAGATGAAAGGGGAATTTACAATGCGATCCTGAAGGAGTTTGGCGCCCTCGGCGACGGCTTGGCCAGCGTGCTGAACGACGGTGTCGGCGTAGTTTTTGACGGTGCGAGTGAGGTTGTTCTTGTTGCCGGCCTCGACGGCTTTGTTGACCGCAGATCTCAGCCACGACGACATGTTCGTTCTCTGCCACTCCGAGTCGGAGTTTTGAAATTGGGAACGGAAGAGCTAGCGAGGGAACAAATTTAGGGTTTGGAAAAGAAGGTCAAGGGGAATCGGAATAAACACTCACCATCTCTCTCTTTCTGCTTCTCTTGTTTCCTTCGTTTCAGATTTCCAGAGGAAGACTCGATCGGGATTTCGAGGATCCAGAGGTCAGACAGACGACGCCGTTTCTATTTTCTTTTTTATATATATTATTCTTATGTATAGATGTATTACCTGTTATAAATAAATCTATTACCTATTATAATTATAAATAAATTTATTACCTATCATAATGTAATTATTTTTTCTCTATATTTTTTAGTGAGTCATTATATTTTTTGATGTTAAAAATTGATGACTTTTTATTCTCTCTTAATAATCACTCACAACGGTTGAATATTCACTTCTTTAATATATGCCTATTATTTTCATACAGATCAATTTAAAATTTATCATAAAATAGGATATATACAATGGAAATATTTGATAACAACTTACAAGCCTTACATAGATCAAAATGATAATCATAAAAATATGAAAATTGACCATGATAAAAATATAATTTAGAAGCTTTAAATGTCTCTTAAAGTAAACATATGTTATCGACATGTAACAAATTGCAAAGTAGAAGTATATTTTGTCTCGCCTCTTGCATATTTTGTTTTAACGAGGTGAAAAATTATTGGCATAGTTTTATAACATCGTAACAACCTGACAAGTCATTTATACTTGTTACTGAACATTTATTATATTGCAAAAAATTAAACAACATGCATCAAAATTATAGTTTATAATACATTATAGTACATACATGATATATATATATATATATATATATATATACAAATACAATACTAAATGCAAAATAAATCTAAACACTAGTTGATATCTATATAAGGCCTAATTATATAAGAGTAGACATTAATAAAAATTTAGCCACCCCTAAAGTGACTATCTTCCAACTGTATGAATTGTCCTACTTAATCATGTTATACTTTCATATCAAATATGATCATTACAGTTATAATCACAAAAAAACATATGATGACTTTTTAAATAAATTTCACTAATAAAAATTTTAAGTTTATCTAATTCAAATATTTTGTCCTTGTGAGATTTTGTTTTGTTTTCAAATTTTGTGTAGGAAATCTTGAGTTATCAAATTTAAGAAATTGCTGATTTTTTTTTTTAAAGGTATGTCATACATATTTATGAATTCTTACATAATTTTTTTAAAAAAATTAGTACTACTAATACACCGATTCTTTGTTAACCTTATTATTTTATTTTATTTTTTTATAGTAGATTGAAATCTACTAATCTGTCGATGAGCACTATATTTAGAGTTATAGGGGATTGGTTGAATTCAACCAATAGAAAAACAATAGCAGAGATCAAACAATTAAAAGAGGTGCAATCATTATCATTACATATAGATTCTTATTTATATTCATTTTTATCATAATTTAATGTATTAAATGTGTATTATTGTGATTTAGGTTGACATTTGGAATGTGTATTATTGTGTATTAACAACATATGATTGATGGTACCTAGGATACTACATATGCAAAAAAGAAAAAATTGACTTTGACTTTGACTTTAATATACCCAAATGCAAACAATGTTATGAACTTATGATAAAGGATCAATTATTGTTGTTTCAAGGTAAACTGATACTAAAAAAAACGCATGATGAACTTCTAGATACAAAAAAAAATTAAGTCACGCAATATAACTCCTTCTAATGAATAATTTAGTATTTCATAATTGTCTTGACCTATTAATTATGTGTTTAAATAAATTATATATTTATTATTTTAAAATTTCACTATAGAAGAATAATAACATGTTTATTTTAAATATTACTTTGTAGATATCACATTCAAGTTGAGATTAATGAGAATGTTGATAATGCTGAACTTATTCTTTGAGAACAAAAAGTTTTTAAGTGAACAAAAAGTCAACTGAGAATGTAAAAAAAAAAAAAGAAATAGATAGAACAAAGAAGTATCACAATTATAAAGTTCGTAATAAAGAATCTTTTTAATGTTGCAAAAAGTATGCATGACATAAGTTAATATATTATATCATTTCCTATTAATTTCTTCTTCTTCTTTTTTTTATCTTAATTTGTAGGTTGGAGAGTTATTATTAGGCATCCCACCTATCGCATTAGATTTTTTCTTAAGAAAATATTTTCTCTTTACGATAAAAATCGATGATAAAAAAAAGTGGAAGAATTTCAAGAAGTTTTAATGTTTATAAAATATAAAATGATGATGAAAATTAATGAAGTTTTAATCAAAGAATTCTGGTCAAATAATGAAATAAATAAGGTATGTCAAATTTGTTATTGTCTTATATGCTTATCGTTTTTTTTTGGGTAAAATTATAAAGGTATGAATTCCTTCATATCTAACATTTTATGATGATGTGGAAAAGAGTTGTATTTCACCACATAATGGACAACTAATGCAAGAGTATGATATAAATACGATAAGATCTTAAGCCTTTCTATATGAATTTATTTGTATATTTTTTTTATACATAATAGTTTTATTATTTTGAATTGTAAGATTCTATATCTATTATTGGTGAAAATAACCTTAAGTGTCACTCCTTTAAATAATAACTATTGATTTAAAGTTATACAACATTGACTAAAGTAATAAATATCCTTCGGCACAAATTTCATGTACCAAAATCAAAGTGTCAAGATAGAAAAAGATCCTTAAATTTCAATTATATCAATACATTGCGTGGACAAATATTATATAATCATTTTTTAAATTAGATTGAGACATTTTAATATTCTTTCACTTTCAATATTCTTTCATTTACAAAGTTATTAAACATTTTTAATGATCATTTGATAGATATTTGATTTAGTTACATGGTAAATGTGACACCCTTACTACCCCAAAACATATATCGAAATAATGTAACAAAATTAAAGAAAATAAACTTTTGAAATTGGTAAAAGGGTTCACATAACAAAAATTCAATACACCACATTAATAGAAATATCAAACCTAAAATACAAGAGTTTCTAAAATTGTTTTCAAAATAATATTACAGAATTTTCATAAATATCTTAAACTAGAAATCCTCTGCCCCGATGTCACACTATCAGAGCATTTTCCCAAATAAAACTGCTGACATACTATATACCAATTGCAGCTGGATCCTCTCCACCTAAAAATATCCACAATTTATACGGTGAGAAAAGAAAAATTATCTATATGCAAAACACATACAAACACATCACAGTATAATTTATTATAACAACTTGTTTATTTCATATAAACGTATATAGATTTAATTATCAAATATTCAACCATTTCACAAACCATTATACATGTCACTTTCACAATCATAAAATCATTTTTCATGTCCATCAATATCACAATTAACACTATGCCAAGACCTCGCCACATCTGACACAAGTGATACAGGTTAATTGCCTCCCTTACTCACACCATACCAGGGGTACGCTCGTCCCTGAAGCATCACCTACCCAAGGTTCGTATCATCCCTGAT